AGTCTAACATGTAGTGGATGAAGAAATGTATATTTCTAAACTGTGTTTTATTATACAAGTGCCACAGAGTTATCAAACTACATAACAAGATGTTTAAAATGTATTTCTTTTTCTAACATTTAAACTTAGATCATGTTATTATATAACTTGCTGGCTGTATGAATACATATAAGTGACAGCTTAATGATTTTTTACTTTTTTGTGGATTTATTATGTGCCGTCTTTTTGTCACTGGTGTTACCTTACACCTTTGGCATATTAAAAGCTTTTATTAAATATTATTTCTCCCTCTCTTCAGCACATGTAGTCAGAGTTACAGAAGAATACTAATGCAACAAATCAGGAGATTATTCTTTTATTTGTTTTAATCAGATTTGTTAAAAGCGTGATTGAATGATGTTTGTTCAGTTGTGCAACCATATATTTGCAATGAAGATATTGTTAAAGGTTATGCACAAGTAATGATGTGATTCTTTAAAGCTTAACTCAATGAAAATTAAATGAATATAAAAGTATTATCATGTCAAATGTGATCCATTTTATTTAATGTGACAGAATAAAACAGTAACACCAGTGACATACATAAGACCAAAAATCCTCAACTCAGATTAACAATGATAAAGAGAAGTTATAATCATGCACTCTGAGTGCCATTTCATGCAAAAGAATTCAATGAACAACTCTGAATAAAGTTTATATATACATAGGAGTCATTGGTGTTACTGATCCTCACTGGTGTTACCCATAAGAAAGGTAACACCAGAGGCATTTTCATGAAAAAGCCAAAAGCTTCATATGAAATCATGAGATAAATGATAACATTTCTGAGAACTGAAAAGAGACGGTGGACTTACCATATGCCTTTCTTAATAGATCTTCTAGATAAAAGGGGGTCGTTATAAAATCAGTGATTCATTTTTGTTATGTGGCAACTCCGGTGTCATGACTCCAAAAGACCACTACTTTCATTGTAAATTTAAAATATTTATTTGGCATTTTTTATGTCATTTAAATCATATATTTGATAGTTGTTTATACTTTGTTGCAGTTTCAATGGTAGTAAAACATATTTCTGACCTCAAAATACAACCTCATTTCCAAAAAAAGTTGGGACGCTGTGCAAAATATAAATAAAAACAAAATGCAATGATATGCAAATCATTTAAACCCTATATTTCATAGAAAATAGTACAAACACAGCATATCAAATGTTGAAACTGAGAAATGTTATCTCAATGTAAAACAGCAAAGAACTTGGGGATTTCATTATCTACAGTGCATAATATCATTAAAAGATTCAGAGAATCTGGAGAAATCTCTGTATGTAAGGGACAAGGGTGAAAACCAGTACTGGCTGGCTGTGATCTTTGGGCCCTCAGGCAGCACTGCATTAAAAACAGACATGATTTTGTAGTAGAAATCACTGCATGGGCTCAGAAACACTTCTGAAAACCACTGTCTGTGAAAACGGTTCGTCACTGCGTCCACAAATGCAAGTTAAAACTCTAAAAGGCAAAGAAAAAAATCATATATAAACAGGATCCAGAAATGCTGCCACCTTCTCTGGGCCCAAGCTCATTTAAAATGGACCGAGGTGAAGTGGAAAAGTGTCCTGAGGTCAGACAAATCAAAATTCGAAGTTGTTATCAGTGCACAATTCAAAAGCCAGTATTCATGATGGTATAGGGGTGCATTAGTGCACATGGCATGGGTGACATGCACATCTGTGAAGACACCATTAATGCTGAACAATACATACATCTTTTGGCAACAAATGCTGCCATTCAGACAACGTCTTGTTTTTCTTTTTCAGGGAAGGCCTTGATTATTTCAGCAAGACAACGTCAAACCACATTCTGCATGTATTACAGCAGCATAGCTCTGTAGTAAAAGAGTCTGGGTGCTAAACTGACCTGCCTGCAGTCCAGACCACAGTCACCACTGATAACATTTGGCGCATTATGAAATGAAAAAATATGACAAAGGAGACCCTGAACTGTTGAGCAGCTAAAATCCTATATCAAACAAGAATGGGAAAACCTTTCGCTTTCTAAATTACAGCAGTTGTTCTCCTCAGTTCCCAAATATTTACAGAGTGTTGTTAAAAGAAGAGGTGATGAAACACAGTGGTAAACATGCCCCCGTCCCAACCTTTTTGGAACATGTGGTTGGCATCCAATTTAAAACGGGCATATATTTTTCAAAAATATCAGTTTCAACATTTGATAGGTTGTAGTATTTTCCTTTAAAAATATGGTTTACATGATTTGCATATCATTCTATTTTTATTTACATTCTGCACAGCGTCCCAACTTTTTTGGAAATGGGGCTGTACCTTAAAATGCCTCTGTACATGACTGTGGGGAGGAGCACTTTTGAGGTGCTTTGGAATTCTATATAATTAATTTAAAAATATTTCCAACTTGACGGCTCAGCAAGGTGTAATTGTTCAAATAACATACTGTTTTGTTTTAAAATATAAATCATGTTTTTCAAATGTCATATTTCTGTGAAGGCTAGGGACACAAAAACAGACGTTTCCATAGAAAGACTGATTGCTTTCACCGCCGCACAGCCCGTCTTCCTCATGCACGTATTGTGTGGGAGCAGCCCATTCCTGATCCTGTCAGATCACAGAGGGCGGGATTTACTGCATATATAATACTTCACACAGGATACTTTCAGCAGGGCTCTGGAAAAGGACGACTGATCTCATACTTGCTGCAGCAGGAAACTTGACATCCAGCCATGTACATAGCCTACTGAGATGATTCCTACTTACACTACATTATATTATATTATATTATATTACGTTAAATTGAGAGAATGGTCATTCATATTTACATCTACTTTAAGTCAAATGTAAGGTTTAATGTGCCTAATATCTAGTCCTCTCCAGGATTTCAATGTTCAGTTTCAATGTCAAGTTTTTTTCCAGTTTTCTTTTTTTTTTCAGAAGCCAAAAGTAGTTTAATGCACTATGGATTGATAACATTTTGAAATGATATTGATGACCTCAGCAAATCCTAAAAACAAAGTATGATCTGATTGAGAAGCTATTCCATGGAAAAAGAACTATTCAGCCATAGTCTATCAGTAAATATGCACCCAAACTGTGTTGGGTAAAACTAGATGGGCATTTTCTGAAGAAAGGCAATGTTTACAGGGCTAGAAAATCAAAGAGGCTCATACAGAAAGGCAGGGGGTGGGGGTTGAAGTGAGTGTGAGCCAGGCATTATCTAGCCTGCTGTCTAGCCACAGTAAGTTACTGAACTTCAGCTAAGGGGCTCGGGTCGGGCTGGTTTTCAAATGTGTTTTTTTTTTTATGTACACTGTAAAACAAATTGTAACTTAAAAAGGGAAACAACCTAGCTTCCTTGAAATATTCATTTTATTGCACTTCAAATAATCAGTAAAATGAAAGTAGCACACAGGATAACTGTTCTGTTAACTGACTGTTACATGTTTTATAGATTTGTCTTTTTACAGAGATTTCAAGCACTCTAGCATTTTTTCCCTTGCACTCTCTTGCGTATACTCTCTCTCTCTCTCTCTCTCTCTCTCTCTCTCTCTCTCTCTCTCACTCTCTCTCTCTGAAGAGTTGGTGAGCGACCCTAAATGAAACTATCAATGATTAGAATTAGTTTAGTCGAGTGAAACTTGTAAAATGTTACTGTTATAAAGTTTGGGGCTGGTTAAAATATATTCGGGGCAACACCCCTCATTTGGATGCTTAAATGCTTTTGTGTCAATGTTTTTAATCTGTGTAATTGAACGCTTTGAACAGAGGATTCTATTAATACCCTACACCAATTACTTACATTAATAAATTCATTCATTCCAACTTTTTCATTTTGTTCACACACTCAAGTACATGCGTAAAACCATAAAACAATGCCATTTCATATTAATGTTTCATTTAAAACTCAGTTAATTAATGTTTTTGTGAGTTTGTCACATCACAAAAAAATGTGTTATTAACCACTCAGCCCAATTTGAGTAATAAATCACCAAGTATATAAAATAATGTTTCAAAATAATGAAAAAAAAATCAGTATTCTCTGCTGTGAAAAGCAGGGGGTGTGTCCACCCCCAATCTTGGGAAAGATGCAACCTCTCTTCAGCTTTGTGCTTGCCAGAATGTAACTGCTGCACTACTTAAGGTGGAATGGAAAAAGTCAAAAAGAAAGCTGATTTAAGCTTTGTGTTCACCAGAATGGAACTGTTGCATTATTTAAGGTGGAACAGGAAAATTCAAACAAGAAGCTGGCAAAAAGGAAGCGGACTTTGTACTAACTTTGTACTTTTGTTAGCATACCCATGAGCTGGGTTAGGCAGCAAAGCCTTTCTTGGATTCAAATAAAGCCGCTAGCAGTGCTTCAGCTGACATGAACACACAAAATTCACTTCATCTAGATAGATAGATAAATAGATAGATAGATAGATTTAGTCCATTGACTTATGGCAAACTGCCATTGATTTAGTGCTGAGTTGCATACTTCAGATGTTGACTTCTGAGATGAGACCACAGTTAAGGCTTCTGATGATGTGGGGTTTTTGCTTTGAGTCAAACAGGCTCAGAGATATTACAAAGGGAATAACACTAGTGGAATGACTGAAAGGGTACCCAAACCTTTGCACATGCCACATTTTATTTGATTTTTCCCCAAAATATTAAATTCAGCAATTAATGGGTAATCATGCATTAAATTTTGTCTTTTAAGTCTAAGTTTGTATGGAACACAGTACTTGTTCCAAACATACAGTGGGCCTCATTCACCTATATCTTCCTAAGTTTTCTTCAATGTGTTCTTGAGCTCTTTGTGCTTTTGAGTGTGTGTAGATTCTGTTCTTACCTAAAAGCAAATCCCAAATAAGAAAACATTGGTGAATATCAGAAACTAAGAGGGTTTTGGGAAGAAACTTCTTCTTAAGAATGGTTGGTGAATGAGGCCCATTGTGTTTACTACAACGTTGAGAGATAGTATGACTGTCAAAGTATGAGGTAAAAAAACTATTGGAAAAGAGATGTTCAAGCTCCATGGGACCACTTTAATAAAGAGCATTCTACTTTGACTACATGTAGCTGCAAGCTAATCCAAATGTATTGCTGCAATGCTCTCAATGGTCTCTCCCAACTTACAACCCTATTTCCAACGCTGTGCAGAATGTAAATAAAAATAGAATGCAATGATGTGCAAATCATGTGAACCATATTTTTGAAGGAAAATATTACAAAGACAACCTATCAAATGTTGAAACTGAGAAATTGTACTGTTTTTTGAAAAATATATGCCGATTTCAAATTTGATGCCAACAACACATTCCAAAAAAGTTGGGACGGGGGCATGTTTACCACTGTGTTTCATCACCTCTTCCTTTAACAACACTCTGTAAGCGTTTGGGAACTGAGGAGATCAATTGCTGTAGCTTTGAAAGTGAAACATTTTCCTGTTCTTGTTTGATTTTCCACTCTCACTTTTCCACTTCCCCTCAGTCCATTTTAAATGAGGTGGCAGCATTTCTGGATCCTGTTTATATGTGGTTTCTTCTTTGCGTTTTAGAGTTTTAATTAGCATTTGTGGATGCAGTGACAAACGGTGTTCACAGAAAGTGGTTTTCAGAAGTGTTTCTGAGCCCATGCAGTGATTTCCACTACAGAATCATGTCTGTTTTTAATGCAGTGCCACCTGAGGGCCCAAAGTTCATGGCCAGCAAACACTGGTTTTTGGCCTTATCCCTTACATACAGAGATTTCTCCAGATTCTCAGAATCATTTAATGATATTATGTACTGTAGATGATGAAAAGCAAAAGTTCTTTGCTATTTTATTTTGAGAAACAATAAATTTTGAATTGTTGCACTATTTTATCATGCAGTGTTTCACAGAGTGGTGAACCCCTCCTCATCTTTACTTCTGAATGACAGCCATATTTTAAGCATTATACAACTTTACCAGCCTTTTGTTGCCCCTGTTCCAAAAAAGTTGTTTTTTCAAAAAACAATACATTTCTCAGTCATTTTCTCATATCAACATTTGACATGTTGTCTTTGTACTATTTTCAATTAAAAAATAGGGTTTAATTGATTTGCACATCATTGCATTTTGTTTTATTTACATTTTGCACAGCATCCCAACTTTTTTGGAAATGGTGTTGTACTATTTCTGGATTTTTTAAATAAAACCTAATCAAATGTTCATTCAGTTATGCTTCAAAATTGTGTCAATATGATAAAGATCAGACCATGTTTTGTTTTCCTCACCAAAGCAGCTACCTTGATTCAGAAAACAACACTTTTTCTTTTTTTTTTTCATTTCAGTCACATTTTTGATTATCTTATAATCTGTGTTGTTCTTTTTCCCCAGGAAAGGCAAGAATTTCAAAGATGACCTGGAATTCCTTTTACAAGGTGTGTCAGAATTTGACATCTAGGGTGAGGCTGTGCCATCCAATATATTGGTGCATGGATCTTCAGCATTTCCTATTGGACTCACCCCAGACGGACAGACATTCCTTGCTGGAGCTTACTTTGGACAGGGACGGGTGATTGTGACCAGCCATGAAAGTTACTTGGGTCATGAATCACTGTCCACTTTCATGATCAATGCCGTCCACTGGCTTGATAAAAGTCGTAGTGGGGTTATCGGTGTCTTACCTGAACTGAAAGATGCATATATGCTGCTGAGCAAGTCTGGGCATCAATGTCAGTTCACTGAGTTTATGAAAGACCTGAGTGTCTTTGTCTGCACCTCCTACAATGATGCTCGGTTTAAAGACATCCAGGAATTCGTTGCTGGTGGTGGTGGCCTCCTGATTGGTGGACATGCTTGGTCGTGGGCCTATAGCAACCCTGACCACAATGTGATGACAGATTGCCCTGGAAATCGCATCCTCAGCAAGATGGGATTGTGCCTCTTAGATAAAACTGTAAATGCTGGGTTGTACAAGGCTCCACATGTTTTCCAAGATGACATAGAATTTCTTTTACAAGGTGTATCTGAGTTTGACATCCAAGGTGAGGCTGTACCATCTGAAGTATTGGTGCATGGTCCTTTAGCATTTCCTGTTGGACTCACTCCGGATGGAAAGTCATTCCTGGCTGGAACATATTTTGGACAGGGACGAGTAATTGTGGCCAGCCATGAAGTCTATCTAGGCTGCAAATCTCTGTCCACTTTCATGGTCAATGCTGTTCAGTGGCTTGATAAAAGGCGTACGGGGGTTATTGGAGTCTCACCTGATATTAAAGAGGCCTACTCCCTGCTGAGCAAGTCAGGACTAGAGTGCAGGTTGACTGGTTTAGAGAAGGGCCTGAGTGTCTTTGTCTGTACCTCCTACAGTGATGTTCAGTGTAAAGAGATCCAGGAATTTGTTGCTAGTGGTGGTGGCCTCCTGATTGGTGGACATGCTTGGTGGTGGGCTTATTGCAACCCTGGTAGCAATGTGATGACAGATTGCCCTGGAAATCGCATTCTGGGTAAGATGGGATTGTATCTACTGGATACAACTGTGAAAGCTGGGTTGTACAAGGCCCCACAACTTTTCAGCTATGCTCTAGAATTCCTTTTACAAGGAGTTTCTGAGTTGGACATTCAAGGCGAGGCTGTACCGTCTGAGATATTGGTGCATGGTCCTTCAGCATTTCCTATTGGACTCACTCCAGATGGAAAGGCATTCCTTGCTGGGGCCTACTATGGACAGGGCCGTTTAATTGTGGCCAGCCATGAAGTCTATCTAGGCTGTGAATCACTGTCCACTTTCATGATCAATGCTGTCCTCTGGCTTCACAGAAAACCTAATGGGGTTATTGGAGTCTTACCTGAACTTAAGGAGGCCTACTCCCTGCTGAACAGTGTGGGACTACAGTGTGAGTTGACTGGGTTTAAGGAAAACCTAAGTGTTTTTGTCTGCACCTCCTACAATGATGCACAGTGTAAAGAGATCCAGGAATTTGTTGCTGGTGGTGGTGGCCTCCTGATTGGGGGACATGCTTGGTGGTGGGCCTATTGTAATCCTGGCTGCAATGTGATGACAGATTGCCCTGGAAATCGTATCCTCAGCAAGATGGGATTGAGCCTCTCAGATAAAACTGTGAATGCTGGGAAGTACACGGCACCACAGGTGAAGCAACATGGCATTTCATCTATACAGATGTATAATTTCCAGGATTTGCTTCAGCATTTTGCACAACATGTGCTTCATGGTCAGCAGCTGGGAGATTATGAACAGCAATTCCTGAAGAGGCTTGGCAGTGACTGCGCCAATTATCTCCGCATGCAGGCATTTGACTGTGACATGTATAAGTCAGTAGTTGCACTTCTCACAGACATAATTAAGGCAGGATTTCCACAGGTGTCTCCTACACGTCCTGTTAAAAGTGCAAAGGATCACCTGCTCCTCCAGGTGGGGACAGAGTTATTCAAGCTCTGCAAAGACACTGATGAACTTCTGTCATACCTCATCGTAGATACACCTAAACTACCAACTGTGTCCAATGCAAGAGTCTGGATCAGTGCTAACACAGCAGGTAAAGAACAATTACTAACTAGATCATCATGATTTTTCCCATAGATTTCCCTACATATACAGATAACACCATTAATGAAAAGGAAAAAATGAAAATATAAGCTCTTTGAAAAAAAACAATTGTTGCATCATTTCTTCTTTAATACTTGATTGAGCATGTCATTGCCTTAATGACTGGGCCAGCTTATTCAGGTAAGAATTAAACCAGTTTCTTTCCTGTGTTTATTAGCCCACTCTTACACTAACTTTTTGCTTCATATCCAAACAGAACACAACACTGACACTCGCACATTACAGAATGACAAATGTAGGTGTCTGTTTCTGATTAGTTCAGCAGACATGATGGCACACTGGGCCAGTTTGACTGACTAGTAAAATTACAGCACGAATCCCAGTTCTCAATTTGGAGCAGCAGGTTCAGAAAAGCTGATACACACCCAGTTTCTGAAAGAGTGGGCTCGATAAGACTGGTGTAATCCTTCCCTGACCGGATTTATGCTGTTATTACCCTTAGAACCCTAAACCTAAGTGGGCAGTTTGCTAGGCTTCATAAGTCAGGAAAGGGTTAACTTACAAACATGATACATTGGTGTTGCAGGAGCACAAGATAGAGCCATGCAAATTGCACCAAAGTGCATGCTTAAGTTTCTAGGGGTTAAGGCAGCGGGACATGTAACCATGTATAAGTATGTAAAAGAAATGAAGCATGCGACAAGTTTAGTGTATTTGTTTAGTTGTGTGTTTATTTATATGGAAGAAATACAAAATTTTGATTAGACTAACTTCTTGTGAGCAAGGAAAAACACTCATGTGCATAGAAAATGATTCTTTGCACAAGCAAAACCACTCACGTACGTGAAGAGAACTACTTCCAAGGTAAAGCACTCTCCTATTAAGCATCTGCTCACAGGATGGTTGTCAGATCTCTTGCTGCATGATAAACCCAGGAATACGACTTTGCACCAATCCAATGGCGTTAGCCAAATCTCTGCCTGTAATTACTTAATTCTATATTGTGAATGTATAATTGTGAATTGTTATGATGTCACAGCAAGTTAAAGAAGGCCTATGCAGCACCACAATGGCAGCATACTAAATACAATGTTGGCCCATCACCACTATGAGCACATTTACCCAACAACCATTTACCCAACAACCAGTGGCAACACGCATGAAGCATGCACTCGATCTTCACAACCAAAATATTCACCCCACTGAAGACAACATAAATTACAGTCGGCAGCTTAAGTGTGCATAAAAATGGATACAGATGACTGCTGACTAGGATTAATCAACTCGGGTGGTTGACATTTTGTATTTAGCAGGAGTGATTAATCGAGATTAGTAAACATTCACAAAGATAGAATACACCATTGTATTAGTGAACTCTGTGGGGCCTCTTCTAGGGTGAAAGTTGGATTCCTGGGGTTTTTCATGCAGTGTGCAAGTAGAGTGTACGCGAGACTGCTTTATTTCATGCAAGTAGTTCTCTGTGCGAAGAATCATTTTCCTCATGTGCGAGAGTGGTTCTTTCGCTCCCAAATTTGTTATCCTCACTCACAAATTTTGAATTGGATTTGATACCATATATAACCAATTAATCGTTTCTAGTGCAGCATAGACCTGCTAACGTTATCATTAGAGGAGAAATCATTTGAATAGCAATGCAAAGTTCATGTAATCAAACTACATACATAATGGTGCTTGGATACCGTTTTTGAGGGCATCTTATGGCATTGTTGATCTTGATGAAAGTATGATATAGAAGATAAGGCAGGTGTTTAATGGCTGAAAAAACACTGTGCAGAAGGAGGTATAATCCTTGTAGTTTTATGCGACACTCCAAGCTGAGGTTTGTGTCAGCTTTGGCTGTAATGGCATGTAATAAAATAAACAGTAGTTGAGCATCTTTCAATTACCAAAGGTTTCATATTTTCAGTCAGCTTGCTTTCTTGTTGCCCTGTGATGGACTGGCAACCTGCCCAGGTTGTTTCCTGCCCTAAACCCAATGACTGCTGGGATAGGCTCCAGCACCCCCTGTGACACAGAAGGATGAGCAGCTTAGATAGTGTGTGTGTGTGTGTGTGTGTGTGTGTGTGTGTGTGTGTGTGTTTGTGCTTTCTCGTTTCAGCTGATGCAGAATGGATAAGTACAGGTCTGTATCTTTCTCCTGGAATGAAGACTAACATTACAGTGCCTGGGACAATTACAGGAAAGGGTTGGCAGGTATCACTTCATTATTCTACCCCTTTTTAATTTTTAATGTAAGATTTGAGGGATGATATTAAGAAAAAGAATGTCATTTCCCACCTGGATCGTTGTTTTATAAATATTGCTGTATTATAGCTATTCCTTTTTTCTTTCTTTTTTGTTCTTCTTGGTTTTGTGTGTTTGTGTTCCAGTGTTAAATAGCCAAATTCCATGTATGGCAAAAATGTTGGCCCACAGCAGCAGTTACTCCTAGGTTAAATATGAGACTAACCTGGTATCAATATGTCTGGTTTGCAATGAAATACGTCACAAACCTGTGGCAACCAAACTATTTTAATCTTGTATTGTGGGTTTTTTGACGCATGTAATTAAATTCGACATACAAGCAGGTGCAGATCGGCTGTCAAACAGATGACTTAAGCAGGGCAGATGAACTGAAACGAGCTCCGGTGGTGTTTGTACGTTTCCCTTTGGAAAAAGAGAATCTGCAAGTCTGGAATCTGTGGGGAGGACTCATATACCTGATCGCACCTCCTAGAAGTACAGTATCTGAGATGGAGGTCGTCATACAGACAGCTGTAAAAGCACCGTACTACAAGTCTGGTACATTTATCTATTACTTACTCATTCTTAGTAAGTCAAAGTGAGCTACTGCAGTACATGATAAAAGTAAAAACTATGAATATTAACCATTCTCTCAGGAGAGACCAGCGTATCTGACTGGGTCGCTGAGATCTGTAAAGCACCAGCACCTTGGGCAGAGCTGGAGTTTGAGAATCTCATCATCACCTTGCCATCTGACATGATACGACACCTGGACCGTCCACATGAAGTGGCTGCTCTCTGGGATTCCATTATGAGGAGTGTAGCTGACTTGGCTGCTAAGCCTGCAAAGTTTACCCGCAAGGAACGCTTCGTCGCTGATGTTCAGATCTCAGCTGGTCTGTATAGTGTAGAAATTTTTCATCAGAACTTAAATAAGAGAACCACCATCACTAACATTAATGTTCCCACCACCATTAGTGATTACATGATTTACAGGCATTTACCATAATGAACTAATCAGAATACTTAAAGATGATGGTCTTGTTTCCACAGGCTTTATGCATGCAGGTTACCCCATTATGATGTACTCTACATCCGCCCCTGACTTGGTGAAACCATTTGCTGCTGGTAAAAGTGATTTTTGGGGCCCGTTCCATGAATTGGGCCATAACCAGCGACGCTCAGACTGGGAGTTCCCACCACACACTACTGAGTGCACCTGTAACCTGTGGTCTGTATATGTATACGAGGTGGTGCTGGGTGTGAACAGGGCAAACGCTCATGGGGCAATGACAGCAGACGAACGACAGAGCCGAATTAAGAGATACATCGAGGGAGGTCGACGTCTGGAGGACTGGAATGTCTGGACAGCACTGGAGACTTACATGCAGGTCAGGGATGCAGGATTTGGGTACTGATGACTGTCTTAAACCTACACTACTATAGCCTTATGTAAATCAAAGGTAGTCAGTGTTGCCTGCCTAAATAAAGTCATCAATATGGTTGAGATTACTGACCATTCTGGAATATATCATGGTATAATGTATTATTACATACTGGATGCTTAGTAAACCTTTTATTGTAGAATAACAATGACATAAATTGGATTTTTCTTCACTTTTAGTAAGAACCATATTTAAAAATTCAAGTCATTTTTTTTTTATTGGGTGAAATAGCAAAAACAGAAATGAACAATATATACAGACAGATGTCATTATTGCTTTCCAACCCTAACAAGATAAAGATGTGTGGGTAACACTTTCTATGAATGTCATGTTTTTTCTAGCATTTATAAACACATTTATAACATGTTATAATGCATTCATATGGCATTGCAAACATGGTTATAAATATTTATAAAAATATATTACACTGAATTACACTTTGTAGCCATGTTTATTACATGTTATGAATTGTTAATATAATGCATTATAAACAGTGTTAATAACATGTTATACTGTCAGTGCCAAAGAAGTCAGCTCCTCCCCTGTAAAGTGCTTTACTGTGTATGTTTTAGTGTTTCAGTAAATCCTTCAGTAAATACTTCAACTTGAAGCCTCACTCTTAACACTGGAGGTGGCTTTAGTACAGTATGCTTCACTTTACTTAGAGTGGACAAATACAACTTATGAGCTCTTATAATTTGTTATGAACAGTACTTATAATGTATTATGCTAACAATTCATAATGCATAATAAGCATGGCTATAATGTGTAATGCATTTTTATAAATATTTATAGCCATGTTTACAATGCCTTATGAATGCATTATAACATGTTATGAATGTGTTTATAGATGCTTACAAAGGTGACATTCATAGAAAGTGTTACTGATGTGTGTATGTAAACTGATAGCAGCTTTTCTGAGCTCAGCAAAAATGGTGCTGAATGTTATTTTATATTCGAAAGTCATTTGTCTCATACGGCTATGTTCAGACTGTCAACCCAAATCCAGATTTTTGGCATATCCAGATTGTCTTTTGATAGTCTGGACAGCAAAACAAAAACAAAAAAAAACAAATCTGATTTTTGCAAATCTGATCCAAATAACATTTGCAGGTGGTTTGAAATGCAATTCTAATCAAATTTTTACTTATGCGTCTCAGTCTGGAGGCTCAAATCAGATTTCAAAGTGTCTTTTGCGTGACTGCCAATGCAACAAACAATGACGATGTCAAATTCAGGGTGACGTAAGTGTTGGAATTCAAGGAGCCAGAGCATTTTGAAGAGTTTGGAGGGCAAGATGATACACCTCTGTCTCTTATGCATACTCCTACTCTGGGTGTTGGATTGTGGAGAAAAGTCTCAGTTTGTTCCTGGTGTAATGAGTCTCCATTCCCACCAACATTTAGCCAGAATTCCCTCATGGTTCTGGTTCCCCAAATGTAGATTCTTGTTATGTGATCATGTCTGGCCCAGCAAGACTAGAAGTTGTGTGACTTGACTATATCATTGACGCAGATATATCACTGCATGCTTCCTTTCATTTAGATTAATTTTAGAGTGATTTCACATTGAATATTTTAATTATATTGAATATTTTAAATATTTTAATATTTAAGTACAGTCAGTAATATTACTTTAACCAAAAGGTTTTTCTAACGCTGTACTTGTAAAACACCACAGCTCATGAAAACCTTGTTATATGAAACCAAAAAAATATTCGCACTGAAAATAGAAAAACCAAGTTTTTGGTGTGAAATAAAAAGCACTCATGTGAAACATATTCCATTCCATCAGCCCTTCTTAGTCATCGCCTGTAAGTTTTATCCTTGATTTTTCTTTTAAAGCTTCAAGAAAAGTTTGGCTGGGACGCCTTCAAGAAAGTCTTTGCAGCTTACCATGACATGAAGAACACTCCAACAGACAACAGTGGCAAGATGAACCTGTACGCTGAGACCTTCTCCAAGGCGGTAAGGAGGAATTTGGTCTCCTTCTTCAAAGCCTGGGGCTGGCCCATCCAGCGCAGCACTGAAGAGAAGCTGTCCAGCCTGCCTGAATGGAGTGACCATCCTCTGGTCCAGTATGAGTAGCTAATATTTCCATGCTTCATAGAGAATAAGGTCTGTCACAGAATATAAACATTTCATGGTTCGGATAGTCCTCAGAAATCATTTAAAGAGTATACATTTATATTTAAATGATTTTTTCTCAGTTACTTTCGGTAAAATGTTTTCACATAGATACATTTATGAATGGCATTTGCTTTTGGCAGGAGTGAAAATCAGTCTTTTCGGTTTATGTTTACGTTGCTGATGGTTTAATAGGTGACCTGTGACTGATTCTAAATGCAGTTCCTTTTAGGAAGCGAAGTCATCAGGTTTTAATCCTAATGGTTCCAGTGGTCTTTGTTCAGCAGGGCCTTTTCCTGCAGGTTTAAGGGTCCTCTGTGAAATTACAACAGGGTTTTACTTGTAAACTCAGACTGAACACGAGGAATTGAGAATATTAAAATAACACATTATCTAATAGAGTCTTTCTGTCTTTAACATGTTCATTACCGTAATAAAATCATCATCTGCCGCTATCAGAAAGACTCAGTTTAACGCTAAAAGCAATAAGATGTACCAGAGTCACATTTACTTATAGAATACATGTTTAAAATGATTCTTTTTTACTTTGTTTGACTGTTAATTATGCATCCTAATCATTTTGCTTTGAGCACTGTGCCTTATAACATGCTCAGTATGTGCAAATATATAACAATCTGCACATTTGGACTGGATTATTGGTTAAATATAAGGCAATCACACTGTAATGCGCAAGTCGTTTTCTTGCACTACAAGTTCCTTAATGAAATTAAGGAAAAATAAAAGCAATGGCAAAAAAACCCACCTTTTTCATGACTTCAATTTTATGTACAGTTTCTTTGTAAATTGAGTATTAACACCATGCACTGAAAGTAAACTGATTAGACCATAAATCACGTACATGACCACAGTCCATATATTTTTTCCAAGACTCACTGTGTAGTTTTACTACCTTATAAAAACAGCCATACCACATTTTAATGAATTTCTGTCTTGTGCTGTCGTTGCAATTATATGGTGGTTTACACATATATATGAACAGAAGATTGTCCATGTTCAAAAGATTATCTTGTGCCACATTGTGATCTGGTATATCATATTTCTGGTGTGTCCAGTTTAAGAAGTAATGTTATAATATGTTACTGGCATTTACTCTACAAATCCAATTCCAATAATGTTTCAATAATGCCAATAAAAACAGAAAGCAGTGATTAATAAATTCTGTTTGACCTGTTTTAAAGTGAAAATGGTACAAAAACACAATATTTTATGTTTTGCCTTATAAACTTCATTGGGCCTCATTCACAAATACACTATATTGCCACTGTATTCGCTCGTCTGCCTTCACACGCATATGAAATTGAGTGAGATCCCATTTTTAATCCATAGGGTTTAATATGATGTCGGCCCACCCTTTGCAGCTATAACAGCTTCAACTCTTCTGGGAAGGCTTTCCACAAGGTTTAGGAGTTTGTTTATGGGAATTTTTGACCATTCTTCCAGAAGCCCATTTGTGAGGTCAGACACTGATGTTGGACAAGAAGGCCTGGCTCACAGTCTCTGCTCTAATTCATTCCAAAGGTGTTCTATCAGGTTGAGGTCAGGACTCTGTGCAGGCCAGTCAAGTTCTTCCACAACAAACTCGCTCATCCATGTCTTTATGGACCTTGCTTTGTGCACTGGTGCGCAGTCATGTTGGAACAGGGAGGGGTCTTCCCCAAACTGTTCCCACAAAGTTGGGAGCATGAAATTGTCCAAAATCTCTTGGTCTGCTGAAGCATTAAGAGTTCCTTTCAGTAGAACTAAGGGGCCGAGCCCAACTCCTGAAAAACAACCCCACACCACAATTCCCCCTCCACCAAACTTTACACTTGGCACAATGCAGTCAGACAAGTACCGTTCTCCTGGCAACTGCCAAACCCAGACTCATCCATCGGATTGCCAGACAGAGAAATGTGATTCGTTACTCCAGAGAACAAGTCTCTGCTCTAGAGTCCAGTGGCATCGCTTTACACCACTGCATTCAACGCTTTGCATTGCTCGGCCATGGAAACCCATTTCATGAAGCTCTCTATGCTGTTTTTGAGCTAATCTGTTGGCCACATGAAGTTTGGAGGTCTGTAGCGATTGACTCTGCAGAAAGTTGGTGACCTCTGCGCATTATGTGCCTCAGCATCCGCTGACCCCGCTCTGTCATTTTACGTGGCCTACCACTTCGTGGCTGAGTTGCTGTCATTCCCAATCGCTTCCACTTTGTTATAATACTACTGACAGTTGACTGTGGAATATGTAGTGGCGAGGAAATTTCACGACTGGACCTGTTGCACAGGTGGCATCGTATCACGGTACCACGCTGGAATTCACTGAGCTCCTGAGAGTGACTCATTCTTTCACAAATGTTTGTAGAAGCAGTCTGCATGCCTAGGTGCTTGGTTTTATACGCCTGTGGCCATGGAAGTGATTGGAACACCTGAATTCAATGATTTGGATGAGTGAATGAATACTTTTGGCAATATAGTGTATGTCCCTTTTTTCTTAGATTTTCATTTACATTTATGGCATTTAGCAGATGCTCTTATCCAGAGTGTGCTTGACCAGATGGGGGATTGAACCCCAGTCTATAGTGTACAGGGCACTGTACAGTATAAAAGGCAGAAGTGTTACCCACTGCACTATACCAACTAGGGGTGCAGGAAAAAATTGATTCTTAGATGCATCGCGATGCAGACGTGGACGATTCTGAATCGATTTACAAATGTCAAAAACACAACTGGATGAGGGAGAAATCCGATTCTGCATTAAACGCCGGGTTAGATCAGGAGTCAAAACACAAATGATAAGAAGAGCCATTCTGTCCTTTCAACAAAAATCAAACCAGCTTGGGAGCCCCAACATTTAATGTTAAGTATGTGATATTGTCCTAGTTTAGGCTAAAAAATGTAAACGAAAACACGGACTTACTCTGCTCTGCTTTAAGCTTCAGCTATAGCTGCTTTTCTTCCATCTCTGCCAGGAAACTTTTCCTCAAAAGTTGAACAGTTTCTTGTAAAATGTCTCTTTTACGAGGCCGAAGTCGCTTTTCACTCGCCATGTTCTTGCTGACCTTTCCCGTTCCACCTTAAATTCTGACTGAGGCCCTTGAGTTTGGGTAGATTCTGTTCTTATTTAATGGCAAAATGTGTAGGTGGATTTTAAGAAGAAATTTCTTTTTTAAAATGGTGGGTGAATGAAGGCCTTTGTTTTTTTGTAAATATATGCTTATTTCAAACTTGATGCCTGTAATACGTTCCAAAAAAGTTGGGACCGGAGCATGTTCACCACTGTGTTACATCACCTTTTTAACAGCACTTAATAGACATTCGGAGAAAGAGGATACAAAGTTTGAAGGCAGCATATCGCTGCTGTCCTTGTATCTCCATTTTTGTCATTTTTCAGGTTTTGACATAGTTTGAAAATACGTGTTGGCCTTTACATTATGTCTAAATTTCATGATGAATGGACCAAAAGAAACAGCCCAAAATGACTTGGAAATATGTCTGGTTCCATTGACTTACATTAAAAGTAGAGTATGTTTTTTCCTTCTCCTGTAAAGTTACCATTTTGGAGATACAAGGTTTTGGTCCGACAGCAGCGATATGTTGCTTCAGCATTAATGATACTTTCACAGATGTGCAGGTTACCTAGCAATTACCCACCTCCATACCATGACAGAGCCTGGCTTTTGACCTTCACACTAGTAACGATAAACAATACAATACAATGATGTATGATTAGATTGAATAGATGTGCCCTATTAGTAATACAGTTACTTCATATATGTACAGTCTTATTTGACAACTGATCAAATTACGTTTTGTTGATTTCCCAGTGAAAATAAGTTAACAAATCTTTCAAAGTTAAAAAAAAAGAACCGGAACAAGTTATTAACATTATAACACAGAGATCTCATTAAGGAGGAAGCCGGTCACTGGTTAAAACATGAATAGGATCACTCGTAATGCAAATATGGCGTCTGTTTCCAGAGAAAGTCCTGCACTTCGATAAAAAAAGCCAATCCGCTTGCTGATTACACAGTAAGCGGAAAACCATTGACGATATCAAAGATGATATTGTGGGCTGATGGGGAAAGAGTTATGCGCATGTACAGTAGCCAGAAAAAAATGTATTTGCATTGAAAAAAAAAAAAGTTTTATTTTTTGCCAATCGTTACAAACTATTTATGAAGTTTGTCAAAATTTACTGGCAATTTACTGGCAAAGTTTTTAAACAGTAGAGTATTTTGGTCTCTCCCCATTGAAAGAGATATGAGTCTGGTCTTGTACGGCTGGAAATAACTGCTGGGCGGCGTTGCCAAGATGGCTGCTGAGTGAACATTGCTTTAAGAACTTTGTTTAAGTTTGGAGTTTGCGAGCACTTAAATAAAGAACCTTACAGCACTAAAATGCATGTCCCAGAAGTAGTGGGGCGTCACCACAGTACTTTAAAAAGTGGTGGGTCCAATGCCCGCTCACCAACGTGGCACTAGCGGCCCTGGATGAAAGAGCTTCTTATTTGCAGTTCTCAATCTGTTAAACTCGTCTTCTTAAATGCTGCTGCAGGCACTATGTTCCGCCTGTAGATGGCACTGCCAGTCATTTCATCATCAGTCTGTGTAATAATTGTAAAACAGGACTGAGCTGGCTTGATTTGTTGTTTTGACTAACTGGCAGACATATTACCTAACTGCCTATTTCATAGTACCTTAATGACAGAGCATTAATACAAGGGCCAGTATCAAATAAAACAGGCTTAGACTTTCATACTGGCCCTTAGTGTTCTTCATCCTTGAAAGTATCATGATATAATATATAAGAGGGTCTTGTTGTCTGTACGTGCCCATATATAGACCACAAATTAAAGGGTTAAAACATTTTGGCCCACTAAAAAGTCAGTATATCACGAAATAAATCTTAAATTTACATAAGTTGGTTTCAGACTGACCCACAGTGATGGTTTGTGTAATG